GATGAAGTACTCGATGTGCTCTACTTAGTGAATAGTTTGGATTATCAAAAAGAGACCTGTGATGGCCCCACAGGCCCAACAATACGATCTTCTCCACTTTGTAGATTGGAGAGAAGCCCATCCCAAAAATAAATTCCTTTTTCCTTTGAGAAAAACCCAAAAAGAATCACTAATTAATAAGCTCAAATTTTGCAATGAATGATCACCACACAACCCATGACATTTGACAAACAAAAACATTTTTGGAAGACTTTCATCTTTCCCATTCAATTATGTTGCAAACTTATTATTAAATTGTAAGACTGAGAATTCAAATAGATTGTAAAATTTTCTACAAAAAATGAAAATAATCTTGGTTTATACAACATATTTTGATTTGCAAGACCATGTTGCGACACTCATATTCGTTTTGAGCTTGCTTCCAGTTCTAGTGTTAACTTGCCCCGATTTGAGTGAATTTAATGTTCTTCATTATGGAGTCGGCCATGGCATTGCAAATCACACCCTAGTAATTTTTAAATTTTTTGTTTTGATATTTCATTTGGGTCACTATTAGATTTTCTGAGACTGGGAAAATTTTGAATGTTTTTTAATATGATTTTGTAGGCATTTGTAAAGGCTTGAACAGAACATGTACTGCAGAGAGTGAAGATGCAAGTATGGTTGTTCTAGAGGGAAAGACATTTCTGGTACAACCCATGACATTTGTTGACCCTTGCAATCCCACCTACATCAAATTTTTGGTAAAAGAGTTTGAATTTTGTGACAATTTTGAGTCTTTTGACATTGATATGAACCTGAAAAAATTTCACAGAAAAATGTCCCGCTACACAGCGTTTATCTTGTTGTGGAATGAGCCCCATTTGGGATAAAAATAAATACAGTGCGAACAACACAACAGTATGAACATTTTTTTGGAGAAATTTTTTCATTGTTTTTCTATTTCATTATTTTCATAATCTGTAATTTCCTTATTTTGCAAGAAAGTGCCAGCATTGCATTCATCTCAGTGGAGTGTGAACTCCATCTAGAATTAAATGCAATGTTGTATTTTCATATGTCATTAATTTTGTAGTTCAAACTTTCTTTGTGCACCTTCCTTTTTCTCTTTTCAATTGGGATGAATGTTGTGCTCTGGCAGTATAGCATTCTGAACACTTTTTTGAGAGAATTTATGGGACTTCATTGTTTTCCTATTTCATTATTTTCACGGTTCGCTAGAAAGTGGTAAATACAATTTTACCTGCACAATGTTCTGAACACTTTTATTAAAAAGTTAGTTTCGTGACTTCATCTTTCTATCTCCATCTTTGTTGCAACTCTTGGGCACAATTATAGCCCCCAATAGTCCTAAGGCATGTAGAGGGAGAAATCTAGGATGGTGGTTGACCTTTCAAGACGTGAATGGGCTCGGTGTTAGTGGCCCCAGCAAGATCGATGGGCGCGGTTAGGATTGGTGGAATATCTCATGTTGAAAACATCCTCAATCTCTGGTACACCATATGTTTTCTTGATTTCATATAGTAACATTTCATTAATTACGATCCTAACCAGCTTAATTTTTACTGTTTCTTATTTTAAAAGGGATGTAGCAAACTTGCACCAACTGTAACTACCTCACTTCTTTGCTCAACTACCCAAATTGATATTTTGAAATAATATAACACATTAATTCATTAATGTTCTATCTTTTTCAAGTGTTTAGGCCCTGTTTGTTTATAGTATATAAGGGGCTGATATAAAGGTGGGACCGGGTATAATATGAGATAAGTCCCGCATGTTTTCTTGTCTCCCTATATCCTATGTTCGATTCCTTCAAATATAGGGAGTCCAGATAGTATATGATGCAAAAGAGAGGATATACAATACCAACCCCCCTATAGTATTGTATATCCCCTACTGTCAGATATAGAGAATCTTGCATCCAAAGGTAAAAAATAATTACTCTCCTCTTGTCTCATCCTATATCCTATCTTAACCAAACATAACATAAGTGACCCCATTAATTCATTAATGTTTTATCTTTTTCAAGTGCTTAGGCCATGTTTGTTTACCGTATATAAGGGGCGGATATAAGGGTGGGACCGGATATAATATGAGATGGTTCCCACATGTTTTCTTGTCTCCCTATATCCAATGTTCGGTTGCTTCGAATATAGGGGGTCTAGATAGTATATGATGCAAAAGAGGGAATATGCAATACCAACCCCCCTATGTTATTGTATATCCCCCACTGTCAGATATAGAGAATCTTCTATCTAAAGGTCAAAAATAATTACTCTCCTCTTGTCTCATCCTATATCCTATCTTAACCAAACATAATATAAATGACCCCACAATATGTATAATCCATCTTATATCCTACAATGTAACGCCCTGATATTTCATCACAGTTCCCGATGCTAATACACGAACCTTAGATTCAGTGACGATAAATCAAAGCATTGAATAATCGGTTACATGACTCGAAAGTTATCTCTTCCCCCTTGAACTATTCATGTGATTACATCATTGTTTTAATACATTATAAGTAGTACTAGTAATAATAATAATAATAATAATAATAATAATAATAATAATAATAATAATAATAATAATAGTTCAAAGCATAAGAGATAATACAAAACAAAATGCCCTAAGGGCTCACATCTTTTCAAGGATTTTCCTTGAGTACACAAAAGATAGAGATCTAACTCCACACAAAAGTAGCCCAAGGCTTCATCACAGAGCAAAAAAAGGAGCCTCCGCACTACCATCCAAAACTACTTCTCTACGCCAATCACTTTGGTAGCACATCAACATCATCCCCTGAAAGGTTGTTAGTTTTGGGGTGAGCAATCGTCGAGTAGAAAATACCAATAACAAATTATATAATTAATCAAAATACATATGATCATGCTATGCAAGGATGAGAAAAACCATGTTTGTTCCTTTGTAAAACCCATGAACCCAAATCAAACAATGTCCATAGCAAGTGCTCATCCAAATCATAGAGTATAAATATGCTATGACATCCAGATACAAGACCCATAAATCATAAATACACACACACATATATAATAATCCCACATTTGCCAACTCCAAAAATGGTGGGGCTTTGCGCACCTAGGACCTTACTCTTCCATATTTACCGACTCCAGAAACGACAAGCTTGTGGACACCCAAAATCATGTTTTCCACATTCACCAACTCTAAAAAAGGCAAGCTCTTGGACACCCTAAAACCTTTCCCACATTTGTTCAAGGATATGCACAAGGCAGGGCAATTAGGCACCTTAACTCCCCGTGTGAGTTCCAATATACATAACACAACCCAAACCAAGACCCGACTCATAATCCGGACTCATATGCTATTTACCCCCTTCCAATATGTTTCAACAGTTGACAATTCCAAGCCACAAGTAAAATTAGTAAATGCATATGATGCACGAGTTTATAAATCTCAATTTCCCTAAGCTAGTTTTCAATTCACAATAATCCAACAATTTTAACATTCCCAATTAAGGTGATTCTTCAAGTCATATCCATTACCATCTCAAGATTTTGTGATAAAGGTACCTAACATTTCATGTTTCAACGTAAAAATCAAGAGACACTCAATTTCATGATTAGAAGGCCAACTGAACCAAATTCCCTTTGTACGAGCACGAAATAATTCTTCTCATATAATCCTATTGATCAAGCTTGCATTCCTCCAAACGTCGTCGTCCAATCACCTGAAAACACAAATGTGATTTTGCAAGTAGGTGTGTGTCAGAAACCGCTCCAATGCATAAGTCAGCAAGTAGACAATAGACAATTCTTACTCTTGAATACAAAGAGCTTTTTGTCTATTGTCTACTTGCTGAGTTAGGCATTGCAGGTGTTTCCGGCAGACACCCGCTGGCAGGCTCTTGTTTATGTTTTCAGGTGATTGGACGACGACGTTTGGAGGAGTGCAAGCTTGATCAACAGGATTATATGAGAAAAATTATTTCATGCTCGTACAATTGGCGCCGTCTGTGGAAAAGATACAACGAACTTACCTCTTGATTAAGTTTTCCTTCAAATAGTTTCAATTGCGCACTAGAAGACTTTCTTCAGTCTGCCGTTAATGGACAAACTCCAGAGGGGAACAAGAGGAGCGAGGATTTACCTTTTGTTCCGCCCACGGTAAACTTAGACCCTCAGCGATGGAACCCTCATAAGAGTACACGGGAAAAGCCAGGCTTGAGTCCTTGTCACTCTCAAAGCCCATATGGACAAAGGAGGAGGATGGATGCCTAGGTTCTAGAGGATCATGTGAGGGAGCAAGAAGAATTAATTAAGAGAATGGCGGCTGACATGGAAGCCATGAAATGATAGATGAAGGGTAAAGGCGTCGCAGGGATGAAAATCCACGAAGGCAGAACGTGTTCTCGCTGCTCAGGAGCTCAGAATATGCAAGCCACACCTCTGCATCCCGAGAACAGGAGCCTCTAGATAGGCGATACACATTCAAGCACCTCCAGGACTTGTTACTCTAGGTTTGACAAAATGAGTACTGAAAGGTCTTACACAGAGGGAAGCAGCTATCGACCCTCACATACTTACCAAACCACCTCTCGGCACACCGAGTTGCCCAGGTCAGTGGATTTGCGATCAATTTTGGAGGAACGGACACAAAGGAGAGAAGACACCCAGGCTCATGACCCTCAAAGGATCTCAGCGCTGCAACAGCTGGCACCTAGGATACACAAAAATGTCGAGGTTAGAATGCCAGTACCGCGCCATGCCTACGATCCAATCGATAAGGCATTGGCAAGGTTGCAGAGCTTGCCATTCGTTCTAGTGATAGAGAACGCATCACTACCCTTAAGCTTTAACCAGCCTAAGTTCACGATCTATGATGGGAAGTCAGAACCTTACATGCATTTAAGCCACTTTTGCTAAGTTATGGCGATAAACCGACGGAGCGAGGCTCTAATGTGCATCTTGTTCGCATCCATCCTTGGAGATTTGGGCTTAACTTGGTTTGAAAAAATGCCAGAAGGTAGCATTGCCTGCTGGGCACAACTTACGGAAGCGTTTGTTACTAGGTTCAAGATGAACACAAAGACACCGGTTGAAATAGATCAGTTGCTCATCATCAACATGGACAAGAAAGAAACATTGAAATCTTACAACAATAGATATTGGGAGACCTTCAACCTGATTGGTGATTGTCCCACTAACCTAGCTATCGCGCAGAACAAGCGGGGTTTGCCCGTAGGCCATAAGTTGAGGTATTTAATGACAATGACGTCGCCCCTCACTATAGAAGCCTTGCTAGAGATAGTGCACCAGCACAACAGGGTAGATGAAGATAGTGCTCGCACCAAAGTAAAGTACGGCACAACAGTGATGTTGGATAAGAAACCAGCAGGAAAGGTTAATACAATAAAAAAGAAAGGCCGACCTAACAATAATAGTCGTGGTGCACCGCCCAATGATGAAGATGCCAAGGCAAGGAGGTTGAGGGTCCGCACTGCCATTATGAATGTTTTCAAGAAGCCCATCTGCCGAATTCTTAGTAAAATATACGATGAACCCTTCATTCGGCGGCCTGCCAAGTTGGGAGAAGCACATAGGGGCTACGACGAGAGAGATATATGCACCTTCCATGATGAAGTAAGGCACCAAACTGAAGATTGTATGCCTTTAAGGCAACATTTGGAAGAATTGATGGCAACTAGCCACTTAGATTAATACATTGAAGGGGGAACTCAGCCTGCCCCTCAAGATCGTAATGCGACAAATGGGATGCTGGTAGATGGTCTGCCTCAAGGCATGATCAATGTGATTCACGGGATCATAGATCCTAAGCGAGTTTGCGAGCTTAGTGGGATGATAAAAAAAGTAGAAAACATGAAGGAAGTGCCGAGTGTTCAATCAACCAAAAACAAAGGGAAAACGGAAGCAAAGAATGTCATCACTTTCTCTGACATAAACTTAGCAAGGTTGCAAAACCCTCACAATGATACGCTAGTTGTTACTTTGCGCGTCAAAAACTTTAATATCAAACGGATCTTGATAGACCAAGGAAGCTCATGCGAGATAATGTACTATGAGACCTTTAAACAATTGAAATTAGAGGACAAAGACTTGGCACTAACGACTTTACCCTTGGTTGGCTTTAACTCAGTGCCAGAGTGACCGATTGGCAAGATAATTTTGTCGGTCAAAACTGGATCGACGACAAAACAAATGGAGTTTTTGGTGTTGAAAGTTCCCTCCACTTACAACATTATTTTGGGAAGAACATGGTTACACGCCGTGTGAGCTATAGCATCGACTTACCATCAAGTGATACGCTTCCCAAACGAAGCTGGAGTAATTAAAGAGGTTTTGGGAGCCTAAATCATATCCAAGCAATGCTTTATGACCGTGAATGGAAGCCAAGTTGCCAAAAGATTTGTGCAGATGGTAGAAGAACCAAAGAACAATGAGATGTTCGCAGACGTCAACCAGGCAGCCGAACAGAAAGTGATGGACGTAAGAATCAACGAGAACAACCCAGAGAAGTTCTTCTTGCTCGGCTCATCTTTGTCCAGTATTGAGAAAAAAAAGATCATGGAATTTTTTATCTCCATTATCGAAGTGTTTGCCTACACGCCATACGATATAACTACATTGACCCAAACTTCATTTGCCATCAACTTAACGCTAACCCTACTACCAGACCAATTATACAATCACAGGTCAGCACTACACCATGCCGAGATAGTGGACAAAAAAGTGGGAAACATGTTGGAAGCAGGGGCAATCAGAGAAGTTCATTATCCTGAGTGGATTTCCAATACAATGGTAGTGCCTAAGAAAAATGGCAAATGGTGCATTTGTGTGGACTACAAGACAATCAACAAAGTCTGCCCAAAAGATAGCTTTCCTCTACTAAGGATAGACCAACTGGTGGACCTAACTACAGGCTACAACTGACTTAGCTTTCTTGATGCGTATCGTGGATACCATTTGATTGCTATGTATGAACCGAAGCAGGAGGTCACAACTTTCACAACTCCAAGGGGGTTGTATTGCTACAAGGTCATGCCCTTTAGCTTAAAAAATGCAGGGGCAACATTTTAGAGAATGGTCACCAAAATGTTTGAATCATTGTTAGGCAAAACAATGGAGGCTTACATTGACAATGTGGTGGTCAAAAGTAAGAATGAAGTAGACCGTCTCAACGACCTAGCTGAGATGTTTCAAATATTGAAGACCCACAAGCTGCAACTAAATGCGTCCAAGTGTGCATTTGGCGTGGGGTCAGGCAAGTTCCTTGGCTTTCTAGTGACCAACCGCGGTATAGAAGCATATCCCTCCCAAATCAGGGTCGTTCAATAGCTCAAAAGGCCTAACACAGTTAAGCAATTGTAGCACTTGACAGGCCTAGCTGTCGTGCTAAACCAATTCATAAGTTAGTTGTCAGATAGATGTTGACCATTCTTACGAGCACTTAAAGTAAAATTTCAGTGGGATGAAGAGTATGACTGAGCTCTAGAGAGCTTGAAGTACTTGACCTCTCCACCACTGTTAGCAACCCTAGTGCCTGGAGAGGAACTTTACCTATACTTGGCAGTTTCCTAGCATGCAGTTAGCTCAATGCTAATACGCGCAGAAGAAATACAACACTTGCCCATCTTTTATGTGAGCAAGACAATGTTGGATGTCGAAACAAGGTACTTGCCATTAGAAAAGCTTGCTTTAGCTTTAATGATAACTTCAAGAAAGTTACCGCACTACTTCCATGCGTACACCGTGGTCGTATTGACAACATTCCCTCTAAAAGCCTTGTTTAAACGGGCAGATTTCTCTGGAAGAATACAGAGGTGGGCAATAGATTTAGGACAATTTGACATTAAATTCCAACCAAGAATGGCAATAAAGGCCCAAGCTTTGGTAGACTTTGTGGTAAAGTTTGCTCCAAGAAGTCATTTCGTTTGTCTGATTGACTTGACCGAGGAAACCAACCAAAGAAATGGAGTACCGCGAGATTAGCGCAGCCTCCACAGCGAATGAATCAACCACGCAGTACACCATTAAACCTAATAGTGGTTGCATCATCTACTGAGGCCAATAGCGCAATGTCAGAGGGGAAAAGAGCAAGTCACACAACTAAAAGCATAATTTGCGAAGAAATGCCTGAAAGGGAAATGGTAAGGCAACTGAGCAGAGAGGATAAAGTACGAATGACGAACAAAGACTTGGAATAAATCATTGACGTCCCAAACCCTAAAACATCTTTAGACCCATCCACATGCTAAAAATTGTTCATGGGAGAGATGTGGAAGCTCTTTGTGGATGGCACGTCCAACAGACATGGCGCTAGACTTGGATAGTCCTCTTCTCGCCAGATGGATTGACCATTGAACAAGCAATCACACTTGGATTTCCAGCATCCAGTAATGAACCAGAGTACGAAGCACTATTAGTCGGTTTAAAGTTAGCCTACCGGATGAAGGCCACCGAGCTAATGGTGTACAGCAATTCCCAATTGGTTGTCAACCAAATATCAGGCGACTATGAAGCAAAGGATAATAGAATGGCCAAGTATCAAGAGCTGGTCAGAAAAGAGATCATGAGGATAGAACAAATACGCCGATAGAAAAATAGCAAGGCAGATGAACTGGCTAGTTTTGCGTCGATGGCAGACACTTCTATCCCACATCCTCGACTAATTGACTTCCTGCCAAGATCGAGCATCGACGAACCTGAAGTGGCCGAGGTATTCTGGATGGAGCCCATCATCACCTTATTGAAAGATAGAATTTTTCTAGAGGACAAGAAGGAGGCAAACAAGATTCAAGCGAAGTCACAACGGTTTTAGCTTTCTCCATCTCTAGCGCAATACAAAAAATCTTTTATTGGACCATACTTGAAGTGTGTCCATCATAGCAAGATCTAGGCCTTTCTATTTGAAATTCAAGAGGGTATTTGAGAAGGCCATTAGGAGGGAGATCTTTAGCCTACCGAGCTATGTTACAAGGATATTGGTTGTCATGCATGCAAGCAGACGCGAAGAAATATGTCAGAAAATGTAAAAAATGCCACAAGTTTGCACATCCAATCCATCAACTAGCTAGAGAGCTCCTACTTTTGACCAGCCCTTGGCCCTTTGCAATGTGGGGTCTAGACATAGTTGGACCACTCCCAACCATGCTGGTAAGTTTTTTATCGCAGCAACAGACTACATCACAAAATGGGTAGAGGCAGAAGCACTTACATCCATCAAAGAGAAAGACGTCAAGAAGTTTGTTTGGCAAAACATCATAACCCGGTTTGGAATTCCTAAGGCCTTGATATCAGACAATGGCACTCAATTTGATGGAAGAATCTTCAGGGATTTTTACGAAGAGCACAAGATAGAGTTCTACAACTCCACGTTAGCGTACTCCCAAGCCAACGGCCATGCCAAAGTATCTAACAAAGTGATCTTAGATGGTCTAATGAAGAGGTTAGAAAAAGCGAAAAGAAAGTGGGCTAAGGAAGTTTCTCATGTCTTGTGAGCCTACCAAACTACACCAAGGCGGTCAACCAGACAAACACCCTTTGCCTTGGCCTACGGCATGTAGGCAGTGATCCCTTTGGAAGTCGGCCTCCTTACCATTAGAAGCGAACATTTTTACCCAGATCTGAATGGAGAAGCAATTACCTTGGAACTGGAACTTACCGAAGAACAAAAAGAAAGGGCGCTAATCCACATTGCTTCATATCAGCAAGAACTATCCAGAAAATACAACAAGGCAGTGCATCTAAGGCAATTCAAGATTAGAGATTGGGTACTACGCAAAGTAATGGGGAATACCCAGATGCGTGCTAATGGAAAATTGGGACCCAACTAGGAGGGACCATACAAAGTGGTGGGATTAGCAAGAAAGGAAGCCTACCACTTAGAAGATATAGACGGTCGAGCTATCCCAAGGCCATGGAATACGGCCAATCTCAAGATATTTTATTTTTAGCAATTGTGGTCTTTCTGTCTTTTAGTTTGGTATTTAACAAAACAAGTAAATAGTTTTTTTCTGAAATTTTTTCAATACTTGTATTTATTTCAATCTATATGTAAAATATCTTTGCACAACTGGAGGCAAAGTGGGTTGGCAGGTTTGACCAACTCTTTTGATTTCTTTGACCGAGAGGTTGATCTCAGCCAAAGTAGGTTGGCAGGTTTGACCAACGTTTTGATTTCTTTGACCGAGATGGTTATTTTGGCCAAAGTAGGTTAGCAAGTTTGACCAACTTTTTAAAATCCTATGACTGAGATGGTTCTCTCGACCAAAGTACGTTGGCAGGTTTGACCCATTTTTTGATTTCTTTAGCCGAGATGGTTATCTCGGCCAAAGTAGATTGGCAAGTTTGACCAACTTTCGAAGTTCTTTGGCTGAGATGATCATCTTGGCCAAAAATGGTTGGCAAGTTTGACCAACATTTTTTATTTCTTTGACTGAGATGGTCTTCTCAGCCAAAGATGGTTGGCAGGTTTGACCAACATTTTTTATTTCTTTGACTGAGATGGTCTTCTCAGCCAAAGATGGTTGGCAGGTTTGACTAACTTTTGATTTCTCTGACTGAGATGGTCATCTCGGCCAAAGATGGTTGGCAGGATTAACGTAAACCGAGTTGGTTTGCTCGGTGAGGCACATAAAGTTCAAATTATCAAAGCAAGGAAACAACTAGCGTGCAAAAAGTTAGAAATTTTCATTGATATT